TTTCAAATTGAACTTGCGCTGCGCACTTGATCGATTTTGAAATCACTCATGATTTCAGCCCAAAAGCACTCCACTCAGTTTAATTACCATTATTAATCACCATAAGCCATGAATTTTTTATGAGTCACAAAGACCCAGATGTTGATCTTGCGTCTGTCTCTCCAAAAGTGATTTTGAGTGATTTGCTCTTGAAAGAAAATGCCACTGTCTCTAAAACTATGAATATCCCGCTGATAACCAAACATTATTGTAGACTGGCAGAAACTATTCACACTTACTTATTTTAGCTCTTTTGCCTACAGTATCAAAATTTTGTTCTTGTTCAAGAAAAGAACTGGTTTGTGTGTCTTTTTGTAACAGAGAAAAAGAGTTTTTAGTGCTTTAAATTTTAATTTTCAAGTGGTGATCATTTATCTTACTAATGAGGACACTGAGGCAATTCTTTTTTTTCTTTTTTTTATACCTAGCCTCCAAAAGACAATTCTCAGTAAAGGTAAGCCATTGTGATAGATTACAATATATGTATTTTGTTTTGATTATCATTATTATCATTATTATTATTATTATTATTATTATTATTGTTATCATGATTTTTTTACATTTTTTATATACATTAAACAACTTGTTTTTAATCACAAAATGTAAAACAAAGAAGAACAAGCTGAGAGAGCTAGCAGGGAAAATCTTGAAATGTCATACAGACTTCTTCAAGATACTTTCCTTATTTGGATCAGAATTGATTAGGATGCACGCACTCTTTACACTTACAAAGTGAACCAAGATTATGACTAAAAGACACAATAACCATTTAGCCAATGTAAAGTGGAAAAAACAACTTTCTTATATTTACTGTGTTGATACTTCTTCACTATACCAATAACAAGCCTCAAAATCAGGCCCAATTAACCCTCTACACTGTTATATCAGTGTGCATTTTCTCCATATTGTTCTCTATATATTTCCTAAGGCACTGATTAGGAGAATTCTTTCTAAAATCAAGAGCTTCTTTAGTTGGTGATCATCTCCTTCATTCTCATGACCTTGAAATTTGATTCAGGTGCAATACTGTGGGTAAAATAAGATGCAAGTCACTTTAAATAGTCAAAGGATTAAAGAGATTGTTTTGACAGTGCATTACTCATATACCTGTTATTACTTTGGAATATGAAATGACTCTGCCTAAAATAAAGTTATTATTTATTTATTCTTCATTAATTTTCTCATGTCAGGGAGCTATAAGTGTTCTAAGACATACATATGTGGAACATGGTCTGCATGGTCTTTTCCGGGGAAACAGTGCAACCATGGCAAGGATTATACCCTATGCTGCATTGCAGTTTACTGCGCATGAACAGTTTAAACGGCTACTGAGACAAGGAAAGAAAAAAGGGTAAGATTGATTCCATTCACAGATGGTAGAATTCTGACCATAGAACATGACTCTCAGAATAAGACACTCTTTGGCTTTTGTAGTTCCATCAGTGATGATCATGAAAATGAAATAGCACTTTGAATGGATTGTATAACTATGCTCAAATCAAAGATTTTGCCTTGCAATGGATCAATGAAAGCTTTGATCTGTGACAGCAGTAGGCAGTCTCATTTGAACTTTCATTGTATCTTTTTTGAATGACAATTCCGTCACAAGAAAATGTTATAATTGCTCATTTCAGTCATTTTTCCTTGAAAGTATGTCTGATCTTGTTTTATACTTAGCTATCTTGACTTTGGTATTCTTTATTAAGTGGAACTGTGTAAGAATTTTCATGAAAAAATACCAAGGCAGAAGTATCACATGGTTCTTGCATGAAGTAAAATGACAAATTTCCTCAAGTTCATATTGTTTTCACAATCCCTCCAACCTTAACAAGTAGGTTCTTTTTGACAAATTTGATGAAATGCCACAGATACACCTAAGCAGGTTGAATTTTTTTCTTGATTTTCAGACCTTTGCCCCCCATGCGTCGGTTCATAGCAGGGTCACTAGCTGGTATTACAGCAGCATTCTTCACTTATCCTTTGGATATGATTCGAGCCAGACTTGCCATCACCTCAAGAGACAGGTATATCACTTTAAGTTATGTATCTAATTAAATTTGTTAACACTATTAAGTCACATGAAGTATAGTTCACATGCATATGATTGCATCTGTAATTATCTGACATGTGGGATATTGATCAAATGAAGCCTTTAAGTGCTACTGTGGTTCCTTCTTTCTTTATTCACTCCGAGCTTTCGCCGTTCTACGGCATCATCAGGGATCTGACACTTTAACCTGTCATAAATTACACAATACATTGATTTTTTTGCCTTCATCTTTGAGTAGGAGATCATTTATTAAAAAAATCCTACACTGCTAACCATTGGCAACATTTCCTATTGAAATTATTATACAAATGCTTTTGACATAAATGGTACAACTAAATCATGCGCACACATGAACTGGGATAAATTGCGGTGGAAGCAGATGTAACCATAACCTGCTATGTCCGCAGTGCACACCCCCTCCCCTCCTGTTTGTGTTGAGTTTTTGTTGTGTGCTTGTTCAAAGTCTTCCATGTTATTACTTAATATGTCTGTGAGTGTGAGAATCTCAAGACCTTGAAAATGGCAGCTTTGTTCCATAGCATTTAACCTACTTTTTTTTGTTTGGTTATTTTGATCAGGTATGCTGGACTTATGAACACTATAACCAGCATCTACAGAGAAGAAGGTTTATATGTGTATTACAGAGGCCTTTTGCCCACAATAATGGGGATAATGCCCTATGCTGGGATAAGTTTCTTCACTTATGAATCACTCAAAAAACTTTACTCTGATGTCTTCCATGAGAACAAACTTAATCCTTTACACAGACTTCTGTTTGGTGCATGTGCGGGACTCTTTGGCCAATCCGCCACTTATCCATTGGACATAATTCGCCGGCGAATGCAGACTGATGGAATAACTGGCCCTTCAAGGCCAGAGTATAAAAGAATGTGGACCACAGCCAAATATGTTTATGCCACAGAGGGACTGAGAAAAGGCTTATACAAGGGATTGAGTATGAATTGGGTCAAGGGACCTATTGCTGTTGGAATGAGTTTTACAACATTTGATATGTTATATGGCTACATACAGAGGCATTACATCCACACAAAGACTGGATGAGAGGAAACAAATCCTTCTGCATATCTGTATGCACAATGGCTGTATGAAAATGAGGGGCAATTGATTTGAGATGTACCAGTGAATGAGGATGTGTCAATGCTGTTAGTGTAACAAAAATTAATTACAGATAGAAAGTTGCTTTCCTGGTATACGAAGCACTCATGTAACTTCTTTTCCTCTTGATGACTTTTGCACATGACAGGGATCAAGGGAGATGTACATCTACATGTAGATTTCGTAATAGAAGCAATTTATTCAATGGAATTGTTATGTTACCCAAAGCCTTGGCTTCGGGTCGCGTATTATGATGGCATTTTGATTGCACACTGGAATACTTTTTTTTTCAAACGATGGCAATGCATCCCAGAATAAAATAAAAGCAATAATAATGTCAGCTTCAAAATATTTATTATGCATTGCCAAAAAAATTGTGGATGATTTCACTGTGGCAGAATATCTACATATACACCATTTCGTAACATTCTTTAATTTGTATTTGAATATCATTAGGTTCGATTGCTATTGCCCTAACTTGCATTTTTCGTCAAATTTCCAAATTTGTGTCTATTTTGTAAATCGTGGAAAAGTTAGTTTCCAATTGGAAAGTTTCTGTGCAGCATTTGAAGAGGAACATAAAGATCCAGAAGAATACAAATTGTTTGGTTTGATTGCTGATCGATTGTACTGCTCAGTGCACCGTGTTTTCCTTAGAAGGACTGATTTCGACGAAAGAGACAAGTTTCGACAACGTGAGCAGCAGTAGTCATTACAATCAAGTTGGTTGCAGTTTTCCCGGCGAACATTTTCAGTCTGCTGCCTAAAAACTGACTGGTCAGGTAACTGCCGTTATGCTCTTTGCTTTTAGGCCTAGCTTAGTTGCGTTTTGATTCGGTGCTTTTTTTTCTTTTGGTTCCGTTCAGTTTGTTGATAATGTAGGTAAGTCGTCAGTGCCAGTAATCGTTAAAATCTTTCAGAGAAGTCTGTTCGAAGTAAGTAAACTGTAGCTCACCAAAATTAATCGTTGAAAGCTGTTCGTGCGGCAGGTCATGCATTGAGCCACAAGAACCCATTTCGATTGAGTGTCGTAAAACCAAACACAAAGTAGTCACAACAGCCAGTCACAGCATAGGAGAATTTTACAAGGAGCCAGTGAGAACTCAGAGTAAAAATAAACAAACTTGCTAGGACTGGCACATCCATAACTCCAGCTGGTGGCCCCAAACAAATAGAATCTCCCCTCAGTCTAAAAAACCAACGGTTCAGGCCTACGCGGATCGTAAAGTCATAATTCACTGGGTGGGCTTTATCACAGCTAGCACGAGTGATCGTTGGGACCTGAACCTAAACTTTTTCAATAAAGTCAAAAGAGCTCTTCGCGTATTTAAGTGCATACCATAGCCAGCACTTATGCAAGTCACTCAGAATTAATGGTGACAATAGAGGAGTTCAGTGGGAGAGTTTCATCAAGACTAACCCATAACCAAAACAGAGATGTTCAGATGATGCACGGAGATCTTCTGTTGCCTTTACATGGTCACCTTCAACCAAGCGAGAGCTGTACCTATCATTGATCGGGATGAGTTACGAATCTATTTTTAAATCGAAACGACCCTCCCCCTCCCGAAACCTAATGTATCTCTCATCGAGGTAGGTAGTCGGGAACGGCAGCCCCAGGTGTTTCAATTTTACCATTCATGAGGTTATTCTTTTATGAAGATCTTTTGTCTTTAGCACGTCAACGTATGTAGGCGTGAAACGGCTCGAGCTTTGCAAGAGAAATGAGTTTTGAAACCCTTCTGTGTTTCTCTGATTAAATATCACTACAAAGGAACGAGAGCGGACGAGTAACTGATTTTTTTTTAAATGCCTTTATTTCCCTCATTAGCTACACAATTTAACCCCTCTGTTTCTCATGTGCTAGAAGAGCACCAATAAGTACTATCAATCGACATTTCCTTGAGTTAGTTCTTTGACATCTCTCCTCTGAGCCATTTCAACAGGTATTTCACTTTCGCATAGACACCAAACTTGCCAGGACTGGCGCATCCATAACCCCAGCTGGTGGCACCGTGCAGATAAAACCTCCCTCCGGTCTCACAAACCATTGGTCCCCCACTATCCCCCTGACAGGAATCTATTCCTCCCTGGTCCAGGCCTGCACAGATCATGGAGTCGTGGATCTTCCCCGGGTAGGCTTTATCACAACGAGCTCGACTTACCACCGGGACCTGAACTTGCTGAAGATAGTCAGGTGTAGCACCCCCGGAAGAAAGTCGGCCCCAACCCGTGATCCAGCATCTGGTGCCGTCAGCTGGTTCAGAGACGGCATCGGGAAGACATACCGTGTTAACAAACCTAGAGAAAGAAATCTCCAGTAAGTGTTCGGTTACTGTATGGATAGAGAGACCATCTCTCTAGCTCAGTGACTTGAAGTAATGTTCTTCCAAAACATACATAGATGAAAAACCTTAGGGACTTTTTGCAACTTTTCTTAATCATAGGTGATTTGAAGTTAGCTCTCCTTCTTCCAGGGAGCGTTTTCTGTAATAATATATATTTCAAATTTTTTGGGTAACTAGAGTTTCCTACATGTATACATTAAACTAAAAGAGATATGCTGCAGTGACTGAAGAGTTTTGACTAATTTGTTTACCAAAATTTAGTAAAACTCAACAAAAACGTGCTCTCCATTACCAGAAATTGATTTTTTGTGCCATCAAACAGGTGAGATATTTATAGCGAGGAGGTTAATATTCATGTTTATTAGACCTGTTAATCTGAGCTTGTTTCTCCAGTTTGAGTAGAGCGATGTCGTGAGCATATGTTGTTGGCTTGTGATAAGATGGATGAGTGATAACTTTGCTCACTATCAAGTCCTGCTCATTACCAACATTATTAACACGTCTATGGGCACCAGCTCTAAATAACAAAAGGAGACAAAACAAAGAAAAGAATAAGTAAAGCCATCAGCTATAGTGTTTCTTCGCATTGGTTGATTTTTTTTTTTCATGTCCACCCAAGTCGACTTTGGCCGAGAGTATCTTGATGTAATCAAAAGAGATGGAATTGAATGCCGTTCGCAAGAGATGATTCATGATTTGTGACCAGTGAAGTCGCAAAAAAGAGGAAGGAGCTTGCGTTCTCCTAAAAAATACATCGAAGTTAAATGCCAGTTTTGGCTAAGTATCTCGAAACGAACTAAAAACATTTTTTGCACTAAGCAAAACTGATTCCTTGAAGGTAGTAGCATATATTTATAATCTGCTATCTTTTCGCCAATTTATGTTGCATGCACCTGTACTTGAAATTTTAAAGTATACTTTTTCTGACCGTGTTCATCCTTCATCAGGGCATGGATTTTCCTTACGATAATAGGAAGTCTTTGGTGGCCATTTTGAGGAGGTCTACATTAGATTGGATGAAGTACCGCGAAATGTAGATTTTGAGAAACGGTTTACCTTACGATAATGGAACTTGGTGATTTACCCCTGACACAGTGAGTGGCCGTAACGACCCATCGGGAACTGACAAGGGAACCTCCACAATAGGGAAAGCCACCTGTGGTTCGTAACTGAACCTGCCATGGCCAGTCACCCTGTTTAGCGGCGACACCACCAACGATCCTGCTTTGTGGACGGATACCGCAAGAACCTTTTAGAAAAAAATATTAAAAGGGATAAGTACGCGGTAAGCTTCTTAATCGAATTGCATGGTTATTACTTATCTCAGAGCGCTTTCAAGGATGCCAACTTGATGTATTTCGCAACTTACGTGCATGTGATAAATGATGACCTTGTAGTCATTGAAAAGCCGCTATCTTTTTCTGGCGACATTTATACCTCAGATGCTATTTTGGAATATGTGAATAAAACATTTTAATATCCTCCGCTCCTCTTCATTTCATTGTTGCCAGAATGGTGCGTTTCTTTTGGTGACAGTGACCGCGCCTTCATTGTCGCCCAGGGCAGTAGGGTAAATGAGTCTGCATAACAAGATGCAGCGCTCGATTCGGCCGAAGTTTTATATATCATATGAAAGTAACATTTTGGGGATCGTTAGAGGTTTGCTGTCTTAAAACGCTGTAAATTGAATTAATTCCGAAATATCCTACCATCTTTTATATCGAGCAAACCTACTGTTTGATTTGAATAGGCATTACTTGATTTCTCCGTTTGTGCAGAAGAAAATCATGGACTACCAAACCTTGCGCAATGGAAACTATAAGACATCGACACGAAATACCTCAGAGACAATGGTAATCCACTGCAAGAATCTGCTCAAGATCTCCGAAAGGCATACATGAGATAAATGAGAATTCTTGTGTGTGAATAGCCGTAGAAGAGGAAACGCATTGCAAAATGTTAAACATATTTTGGATTGAGTGTCATTGAAGCAAAATCAGAGTTTCACCCACAATCGAAAAAAAAAACACTTGATGTAAAATGATAGTAAGAAATGAACGAGAACTCAAGTAAATGCAAGTAATCTGCCAGAAGCGCGAAAAAGCGAGAGACAATTGCAAATTAACGTATCGTTTTAAGTTCGTTTTCACATCAGACTGATCTAGGACGTCAGAGAAAAAAACACTTACCAGGTGAGGGAGGGGGTGCAGCTGTTATTGGAGGGGGTGAAGATCCTGAGAGAAATGAAATGAATAAATGAATGAATAGATAACGAAATAATGCCAGAAATTGAAGCCAAAAATTAGGGACTGCAAGGAAACAATTTGCTTGTCAATTCTTCGGGTCTAGCCAAACTGATGGCCAGGAGATGGAAAAGGAATGGTGAGCTTTGGTTGTGTCCCAGGCAAGTAGCTAGGCTGCTAAGAAAGAATCAAAATGGCAGCGTCATCAAATTTTAAGAAAATTTGAACATAATTTTCAAACACGTTAACGCGAGTGTTCTATCACCAATGCTGCAACCTGATAAACTAAGGTACTCGACATCGACTCGTCGAGTGAGTGGTCTGACAGTTCTCGATTGTTAACAAGATAAACTGAAAACATGACTTTTTCTTGTTGTTAAGTTTTGATCGACTAGTAGATTTATGTTTCAAAAAAAATGGTTCTCAATTTCTATGCGTGATGGTCAATTGGGTTTCACCTTCATCAACTATCACGGGATGAGAATCTCGAGGTTGTATGGTTTCTGTATAATACTTCTTCTGTAACTGACTCACCACAGCCACCACCTCCTCCTCCTCCTCCGCCGCCTCCGCCACCGCCACTGCCACCACCACTGCCACATTCCATCAGCACCACGTTGTCGATGGCTGCATCTCCTCTATAACTAATTCCACGTATGCCCTCAAATATCAACTGAAAAGAAAGGTATCTGTATATCAAGGTGTTCATCAAACTTGAATTGTGACTGAGTTATTTTGCTCTTCATCTGAGCTCTAAGTGCGGCTTTAGTCTCAGTCAAAGTACAGATTTCAGTTTCAAAAATGCTTTGCCCTTATTACTGATTTTCTTGCATACTTTTCCCATTGTCTTTCATGATGTGAAATTTATACTCATAGTTGCGTCAAAAAAATGTGCGACGGAGCCTGGTACATCAGATACTTCACGATCAATGCCTTGTTCCAATAATAAAGCTCCAACGCATGGTTGTGTAATCACACAAGCAAACCGTGCTGAGACATTTCCTAATTTTATAATCCGAAACATTTGGCGCGACGTGAAACCCGTTTTTTGCTTCCTCAAGAATTGTGATATTGAAATTAGCGCCGCCCATGAATAAACGCCGTTTCGACAACACTGAAAGTTTTACTTACTCCGCGGCGTTTGATCGCGTCACTAAAATATGTTACATGGTGATACAAGAAGCTACGCCCTTTATTTTAGTAATTTCTATGGGTTGAGGTGAGCTGAAAGGTTATATAAAAACGTCGAAGTTTCTGCAAACTCTGAAAGCTCCATTTATGCTCGTTTAAAAGTAGCTTGTGTATTCCTGACCTATGAATTCCCTTTGACATTAGCCTCCCTTCACACACCATTGCATGACCGATGAATGAACAAATTATTGAAAGACTAAAACTTTCTGTATCAGCTTCTTAGAATTTTTTAACCCGCCTAATTTTACTTTATTAAAATGTTAGGTGTTTTACAAACAAGTGAGAAGACAATTTTTTTTATTTCGACCCCACCTCTGATGCTCCAGCGTCAGTCACATCGATTGATGCTTTTTTCCACTGATCTCCTTGATTTCCTGACTTAGAAAATATTTTCCTTTGCCCCACAAACACGTTTAATGTTCCCATGGTATTTCCGTTCATGTGATAGTAGAACGACAAACATTTCTTCGTTTTGAAGGACAAACCGTCTTTTACAAGCTTAGCATTGTCCCC